GACAATGATGAAACAAAATGAACCTAATGCCTGCTGACACTGTCCCTCTGGGTCCAGTGCAGTGACCACGGGCTCAGTGAGGCTTTGCCAGCCTTCCAGGTTCATGAATATTTGAGTAAAATAACTTCGTTGTTAGTAATAAAACCTAGTTATTTCATTCCATGATTTAACAAATAGCATTGAAGTACTTGTATTGATACTCCACTTAAGTCACAGACACTAAGTTTGTTTTGATTTATATTCATTTTTAAATTATCTTTACTTCAAGGATGAGTTTTTGAAATTTGATAGTCTCCGTGGGTTTATAAATCACCGTAGAAAATGGTTCCTCACGAATTTGCTGGGATCCCTAACAAGTTCACATGATTACTGACTATTAAAGTTTATTAAAAATGTAACATGATAAATATTAAATATCCGTTGTGGTAATCACTGGCTCTTATTCAGGGTTGCTTTTGCAATGAGAGGTGCCCTGGAAGGTCTCTGGAGGAAAGCAGAAATGTCAAAGACAGGCCTGCGTCTTAATAGAAGCCTTGAGCTTCAACTGCTGACTTTCACTGAACAGGTTTCCGGCGCCCCCACTCAGGAAGAGCGGGGGGGGGCGGGCGGGGGGCGTGAGGGGAGCTTAGGTGAGAGTCAACAGGCAGCCGCTTGGTGGGGGTCTGGGGGCTTTTTTGTTTTGGTTTGGCTTTTATTTCTTCTGCGTTCTAAGCTCACTCTCTGAAGACTTACGTAGGAACCATGAGGTGCAGATGACTGGGAAGGATATTCTCTGCCTGTGAATTTTCTTAGCTGATGAAAAGCTCACCTTCCATTTCAAGACTATAAAAGAAAAGGCGCTGCCTGGGTAATGAACCGGCGGCACAGAACCGCTCCTCACCTCCGCAGCTCACGGACCCTCCCCAAGGCTCGGGGCGGAGCGGCCGGGTCTGCACAGGACGTGCCACCGGCGGGGACCCCAGGCCCGCCCCCTGTCGGCAAGCTGAGGGGCACCCGGGGCCAGGAGGACGGGCGGCCTGTGCCGCTCATTTCAGGGGGGCGATGTGAACAACGGTGGGGAATGTCGTAAGGCCTGCGGTCCGGGGGCGCGGCGAACCAGTCCCAGCAGAGCGTGGTGTGGGCGCGGGACCGGCTTCTGCAAGGCACGTGGTGTTGGAGCAGCCCCCAGGAACGGTCACGAGCCCGTGAAAGCCTTCGGATACGAGAATGAAAGAACCCAGGCCCCAGGGAGCTTCAGTTGGGATTCCACAGGGCAGTCCCCACTGGCTCTGGTGGGGGCAGGAGGAGCGTTTGCGCTGTACTGGGTTTGGGGAAAAGGGGGTGATAGAAAGAAACAGATGGGGAAGGAAGGCGGAGCTGGATAGTGAGAGACAGGTTTTCAGGGCAGTTTAGTTCCTGGGCAACGGTTTCGGCAGTGGCCCGCCTGGGAGCCCGAGGGGAGTAGCAGCAACGGGCATTTATGTGTCTTCACGGGCAGAGGCCCCTTCGAATAAACTTGACTTACCTGCAGTTCAGACCCACAACTTATCTGGGCCCCAGTGCACCTCAGGTGCTGCTGTGGCACCCATGCCCTTGCCCTTCTCCACTTCACTGGACATCCTAGCTGAACACAGGGTCAACATCTACCCTTCTGTTTTCCTTTCAAATACTAGAGGCTCCTCCCCATGTGCTGGACTTACTTTGATCTTGGGGAGACACAAATAAATACTAATGGAATAATTCTTCCCACTTCGTGTTAAGGAGCCCGAAAACAGTGGTGAGCTACATCTGAAGTCTCTCAGGCAGCTATATTGCATGCAAATATAACCACATTTTCAGGGCCCCAAGGAAGTGTGTCTGCCAAGATCAAAGCAATCACAAAGCCCATCCAGTTTGGATTCTTGCCAGCTGGTTCCATCAGACTCACCTACGTGCCCGTTCACACTGTCTCTGAGCTGTGAGGTTTTCCTACCCACCTCCAACCTGCAGACCATCTTATTTTGGGGGCCCCACGTGACAGGAAGCCTGTTTTAGAGATGGAAGGACCAGGCGGTGGGAGTCAGGGTCTGCCAGGTGGAGCCCTGAGAGCTCCAGGCACTTCGCATTTCTGATGGGCTCTGCTTCTGCGGGTTAGGATGTTGTGTGAATTGGCAGCCTATTTTAACTCCTTTGTGGTGACACTTCCTCCTTTATCAAATGGGGATTTGGTGACCTTGCATATTTGTTGTGTGGGTTAAACTGTATGGAGCCCGGAACATGCCTGGTACCCTGCCTGCCAGGGAAGGGGCACTGAGGCTCTGGCAGCTGCTGGTCCTGTCTGCCGCTCCTCCCCAGAGGCCGCCGGGGAAACAGGAAGGCCATGGTCCCAGCCCTCACAGCCTGTGTTCTGGGGCTGGCAGCTGCTGCCTCTTTGGACCCCAGACACACATGTGTTTATAAAACTACCAGTCACGACACGGTCCAGTGTCCAGAGCCTGACACCAGAGAGATGTGATGCCTCCAGATTCTCCCTTTGTCTGAGAGTCTCTATGATTTCCATCTCGAACATCTTTGCTCATCACCCGCTGGGAAGTGCTCCCTCTGGGCGTGAGCCACTGGCCAGAGCCTGGTGCTGGGCTCTCCTCTCTGCCTCGCTCAGTGCTGGCCTAGCATTTCGTGCACGGAGCCAAGGAAGGGCCAGGGTGGTCATGCACTCAGCTGGCTGTCTCTTGGTCAGGTGCTGCGTCTGATGTCCCTGCTGGAAAATGTCCCTCTGCCATGTCTAAATCCACACAGCTTTGGGAAAAAGCTGTTGGGAAGGAACAGTTATGTGAAGATAGTACCTCATGGGGTGTTTTCCTCCCCTGTTGATCTCTCAGGGGTGTCAGGTGGTGGCTCTGACTGTGTTTTGGAGGACAAGGAATGGGGAAGCATACTACAGGTGTCACTAGATTTTGCTTTCAAAAACTCTAACCCTTGAAGAAAATGTATGTTGTTTGAGAGATGTGAAAGGAAAAAGCATATAAAGAGAGTGTCTTCAAGAGATAAGGGCTGCACAGGCTTCCCCCTTGCGCTCTGCCCCCTAGCAGGAGGGGAAGAGAGTCAGGCCTCCCACTGCTGCAAAGCCAGTCGCCACAAGCCCAGAGGCGTAGACACTGTTCGCTCACTGCCAGTCCTGTAGCTCCAGCATGTTCTGGAGTCCACTGTCACAGCTCTGTAGCTCTGGTGTGGTAGAGCTGGGCCTCTACTCCGAGTGTCACAAGACTGAAATCAAGGTGCCAGCCAGGCTAAGCCCTTATCGGTGACTCTGGGAAAAGGTGCTTTCTAGTTCATTCAGGTTGGCAGAACTCAGTTTCTGGTGGTTGCATGAGGCCCATGTTTCCTTGCTGGCTGTTAGTAAGACTCCTCTCCATCCTGTCTTCAAGCCAGCAATTGTGTGTTGAATCCTTATGCTTCAAAAATTGACTTCCTCTTCTGCAACCAGCAGGAAAGAAAGCTCTGCTTTTAAAGGATGTACACAGTTAGGTCAGGCCCACCTGAATAGCCTTCTTAATTTAAGGTCAGCTGGTGGGACTTCACTTATATCTGCAAAATCCCCTCACAGCAGTATGTAGATTATTGTTGATTTTGGTTGAGTAACTAAGGAAAGGCATGTGTCCCCCCGGGACCAGGAATCTTAGAGGCCATCATAGAATTCTCCCTGCAGTAGTCCCAGAGCAGGAAACTAAACTCTGCTTCTGGCAGCACCATTAAGGCCATGGAGGGAATGGTTAGATGATGTGCCTAAGAACTCAGGATCATAGGGAGCCCTGGAAAGATTCTCACCTGCACTAAGCAGGACACAAACTAGTCATGACAATGTCAAACTGGTCCTGAAGCTACCACGTGTAGCTGGGCAATGGACTCCTGAGAAGCGAGCAGCTATAATCCTACTCTCAAAATCTGGTCATGTGTCAAAGCTTGGACATGAGTCAGAAATTAAACTGTTACAGAAGTTAATGATGGTGATATTTCTTGCACATCTGCACAATAGCTATGGGAAATCTTAGTATACCCACCACTAACTACGGTACCTGATACATATTTTTCATTATTGAATGAATAAATAAAGGAATGAAGCTAATAATTAATAGCTTGTAAATATCCACAAGAGCCACCAACTTCTCAAACCAATCTCTTTGAGGTAACAACAACAACAACAAAAAGCTTTAGGGAAGCTCTTTAAAAAAGTATGTTTGGTGAAATTTATGAATATATTATATTCTTTAATCAAGATAGTTGGAAAAATGCTAGATCACAGTTGTAAACCAGTTTTTATCCTGCAGGATTTGTTTATATCCTTTAAATTATTGTTATTTTTGAGTGGAATAATATATGCAGTATTTCCAAAATTTATTTGACACAGAGAACCCCTGTTTTTCTGGGAATGTGTAAGTGTGAGCTAAGTAATGCTGCAATAACAAATCTAAGTTATAACAATGATTTATTTCTGTTCATGTTAGTTGACAGCTGCTAGATGGCTGCACCTCTCTTCAACATCTTTATTCTTGGATAGGGCCTAAAAAGGCCATTGCTGGTCTCACAGAGGAGATGAAAGGAAAATAGTAGAACCTTGGGATAGTCTTACGGCCTTTCTGGGAAGTGGCGTGCAGCACTCTGTGCCATTTCATTGGTTGAAGGAAAGATGTATAATCCTCACACAAGGAACATTTAGTAATGCTGGTTCTGTGTGGAACCCACTTTGAAAAGCCCCACACGATGGATACAGAACTGAGAAGTCACTGTGGGCTTCAGTCACCCAAGGCTCCAGAGGAAAGAACTGGAACCAAAGGGCACTGTGAAATTCAACCACATACAAATCTTGGATTTCATCCCAAATCTATTATGCTTGTAGTTTACGCTTTCTTTCAATTTGAGAAAAACAGTAAACAAGAAAAAGGTATAATAATCCAAAATTTCACTCATTTAGTTTAATATGCCTAAATGTTTTTAAAAAAGAAAAACATTAAATCTTCCATTATCTTCTACCTAAAGATGCTGATTGTTGGACATAACCAAGAGAAAATAGGAACCTGTCTGTTTCTCTTGGAAGGAAACAGTTTGTCGGATTTCTTCGTTAAGCTCTCAATGGGCTGGAGCTCCACGAGTCCTAAGTGAGTGCAGGCGGCCTGGAGCCCTACTCTCTTCACAGCACCCAGCTCAGCTCCTCTGACAGGGCTGCAGACGCCTCCCCAGAGGGCCCGCCAGTGTGTCACTGCAGATAGGGCCACACCACTTGATGGAAAGGAAACACTTTTGTCCACTCCACATAATTACCTGACTCTGTTCTATATCTGAACCAATAACAAAGATGCTGGAAGGCTTCGAATCCCAGTGACAGCGCATGACATTCTCCCACTGAGAAAAAGAAGAGGATTCCAAAGACAGGGCACAAATCCAAGGCTAATGATTGAGAGTTTTTTTTTCTACTTCCTGCCTTCACCTCCTTTCCTTCTGAACTGGGAAGGCATCAGCGATCACTTGCTATAATTAAGAAAAATTAAAAACAAGAGCTACTCACTGGCTAATCTGATTGGCTAACCACTGATCCCAAACTTCACCCTCCTGGCCAACCTAAGCACTTCTCAAAGTTTTCACTTATAATTTCAATAGCAGTTCCATGCCAAACAAATACACACCTGATACTTCGGGAGGAAGGATCACTCTTTAAGCTTTTTTGATAAATACACTTAAGCTCAGGACCTGAGGCAGCTGACCTGTTTAGTACAAGAAGATCAAAGTCAGCTTTCAAATCAGATTTTAAAATCTGCTTTAAAAATGTGATCACAGCTATTGGACTTTGTCTCACCCCTCATACCCCTACTATTCATTAAAGTCCCTTTGTTAAAGGACCTTTGATACACACACAACATATGCCCTTACATATCTAAAGTAAAATTCATATGCATATATATGTATATACAGAGAAATGAAATCTCAATGTTTTTAATCCAAATAGTTACATGTTGATAGCTAGAGAGACCATGATTGAAATCTTCTAACAAAATATATTTAAACTGTTTTCAACTGTTGCTCTTTCAAAATGCCCGGAACTGGCCCCATGAGTGTTTTGTGAATATGTGGGTTTACTCTCTCCTGGGTCATATGTCCTGAACAACATAACTAGTAAGGCTGGTATTTTCATCTCTGGCCCAAGCTTCTTTGGTTCACAGGCAATGGGAACAACCTAGATCTGCCTTTGCCCGAATGAAACTAGTCCTTCTTCTCAGCCATGTGTCACCAGGATTTGAAATCTGCAGGTGGCTGTGACGGATGTGCTGGCTCCTCAGTGCAGCTAGAGAGGTCACATACAAAAGGAGCTGTGTTTCGGGTCCCTAAAGTGGCTTTATGCAGAACAAGTTATTTTACACCTGCCTAAATTGAAGACAAACCCAGTAGAGTGTGCACAAAACAATAACCCACATTCTTTATTTCTCCACATGGTCTTTGTAATAGTCTAACTTAAATTTTGTTTGTTAGCTAAAACCTTATAGGTTTTAATTTAATTTATTTAATATTAATTTAATTAAGATATAAATAAAAACCTCCCACTAACTTATAACTAGAAGTCCTGGCTAATCATTTTGAAACATCAACTAGTTCCTCAAATTGATGCTTATAAAACTTTCTAGAGAAATAGAGTATGATATTTTAATCTTCATCTAGACTATTAGGAATACATATTTTAATTATAGCTTTGGATAGTGTTACAAATTTTTTTCCAGCTTTTCACAGTTCCAAAGTACTAGAGAAAATTTGAAGAAAGAAGAAAAGGCAGGGGCTGTGTCGGTGAAGACCACGTATGTGAGCTAACTTGACAGCAGCAAACAGGTACTCCATGTTGGAGAGAAAATAATATATATGTCACCAGCTTATAAGCATTTTAGGTGGAAAGTTTTAAGTTCCTTTTTACAAAAAACAGCTTAAAGAGAATGAACCTAATTGCCTAAACCTTAACTGAGAGTAAAACTGTCCCCTTGCCCCAGTCCTATTTATGCAAGCAAACTTTTTAAAAATTACAGAAAATTATGAAGTGTTCCTTTAGATTCACTATAAAGATATTTGCAACCTTGGGAATGTTTCCCAAGAGCCTAACAAAGAGAATGTGTGTCCTCCTGAGAAGTAGTGACTGTGTTTTATCTTCCTCTCCCCCTGCATCAAGGCAGATGATGCTCGCTCATACCTGACTGAGAAAACTGAACAGAGACTTCGTCTTCTTGTAACAACTCCACAAGGACACTTTTACCCCTGCTCATGTTCTCTGTTCCCTCCTCTGACAAGGCAAGAAGGGCTCCTGTCCCTGCGGCATGTCTCCTCTTACTCTCTGGTGCCCGTCCCCCACTCTCTCCTCTCCCAGGACCTCACTTCTGCTGTTCTTCTTCTTCCCTGAATCCTCCATTTATTCCCGTGCTCTGGATGGTTTCATTAGCATAGGGACATGCTCGTGTTTTCTGGTCTCAGAAAACAAATGACAACAGCAATTAAAATGAACTCTTCCTAATCCCACAGCACCCTCTGCTCCAGACTCTCTGTTCTGCTCCTCTTCACAGTGAAACCTCTTGAAATGTCTCTCCACCACTGGGTTCACCCTCTAGCTCCCTACTCCTCCACTTTACCCTACCCAGTCTCGCATTCTTCCCTCCACTGACTCTCTTCCTGGGACTCTCAAGCTGTGTGTTGCCATTTCAAAGGGTCATGTATCTGCCTTCATGTTACCCAGACTCCCAGGAGTTGCCAGACCCCCACCTCAGAGAGGTGACCGCTCCTTCCTTCTTCAAGCACTTTTCTTTTTTTCCCAGGGATGCCACACGTTCCTCATTCTCCTTCTATGCTTCTGCCAGTTTTATGCTCTTTTGCCCCAGTCTCTAGGATTAGAATGCACCAGGATTCAATCTTCCTTCTCTACATTTTCTCTCTGGGATTAAACACTATTTATGTGCTGATGACTTACTCGTCATCAGTTCAGATTCATACTGCAAATAACCAAAAATCGAATTCTGTCTTAAGTAAAAAAGCCATTTGTTGACTCACATAACTGAAAAGTCCAGGGGCAAGGTAGTCTTCAGGGCTCAGTGATATCAGAGAACCACTTTCTTCACAACTGCCTGTCCTGCTGACAGGTATTAGGCTTCATCCTCAAGACAGCATCCCTTATGTTGGCAGAATAGCTGCTGTGATTCCAGACTTTACATCCACAAACCATGCCACCTGAAAGGAAAAATTAAAGCGATTTATAGTGTCCTTCCCAGCTCTCCCAGGAAAGGAAACATTAGAGGTCCCAGAAAATGAGACTCTATATGTTCCATTTGCCCAAATTTTTCACAGACCTACTTCTGATACAATTCATTTGGATAGGGTGATGCCATGTGCAGGGTGGCTTAAATTCAAGCTACCTGAATCAGTAACAATGATATAGGAGAGGAAGGATTATCTGGATCAAGGTGAAACAATCAAGATCCATGCCAGACTCCAGATGGGTCAGCTCCCTCCAAAAAATATGGGTGCTACATGCAATGGCGGGAAAGAGAGCGTGGTGAGAGGTGCCTCTGTACAGTTTCCAAAATCACACTTCATCTCTGATCTCTGAGCCCCAGACTTAAGTACCCAGTCACCCCTTTGGCGTCCCCTTGTGACGCGATGAAACTGACACTCTGACCCTTTCTCCCATCGGCCCCCACTACATGTTTTTTTCTCTAATATTCCCTTATCAGTAAATAGAACAATTATCAATTTGCTAAAGACAACATTTTAGAGACTACCTTTAACCTCTTGCTTTACCCTCCGCTATAATTCAATCCACCAACAAATGCTGTTGGTTCTCCCCCCAGCTCTATGCTGAAGCCATGCATTTCCCGTCTCCTGCCACTGTCCCCGCCTGGCTCCAAGACACCATTACATCGTGCCTGAACGACTGCAGTCGCCAACCAGCTATTGTCCTGATTCCTTTCTTGTGGTCCTGAAACCTATTCTCTATACAACCTCCAAAGCAGTCTTTCCAAATATCAGATCACTGCCCTTTTAAAATCTCTTCAATGACTTCACAGTCTATTTAGATAAAAACCTAAACTCCTTATGTAGAGGCCCTACAACATCTGGCTCATGCCCTCCTCTCCATCACTACCTCATACCCCTCCCCTTAGTCTTCATGTCCCAGACACAGGCCTCTTTCCACATCCTACTCATGGTCAGCCTGAATCTGCTTTCACTGTTGAAGCTTTAGATCCCAAGGGCCCATTCCTGGGCCATAATCCCTTATCCTTCCAGGGCCATCACTCTAGTGCTTCAATCACTCCTTATTATGTTCTCCAGGCCCTTGACTGTCCCCTGAGCCATAGGTATACCCATTCCTCCTTCCTATCCAGCCGAGACAGCACAAGAAAAATTATGCAGCCATGCAAATTAGGACCTCTGCCCTTAATTAGGCCCAGTATGCTATTAGACAGTTGTGTACATGGCGCTAGAGAGCTTCCCATTCCCTTCATAATTGCCATCAATCCTCAGTGTCATTTCCTCTATCATCATCCACATTCTTAAACTTCAGAAAAAATAAAGTCTCCCTTGGTCTACTGCCATTTTACCACAAAATGAAATGCCTCTCCATTCATTTTTAATTGTTTCTAGCTTGTCTCACAGACAGAGACCTTTTAGTTTGGATGTTTTCTGCTGTAAGTACCAAAATACTAAATGAATACGGTTCAAACAGCAAAGACAATATAAACCCTCACATAACTGGAATTCTGAAGCTTGATGTTTGAGGCAGTAGCTGATGTCATTAAGGACCAACTACTGTCCATCATCCAACCCTGCAGCCCTCACCACGCCGACCTTCATCTCCAGGCACCATTGCCTCTCAGCAGAGTCCCAGGGCAGAAAGTTGAGCAGTGAGATCTCTTCATGTATGTCTTTTATCAGTAGGGAAAAGTCCCCCCAAGGAGCAAGCATGGAGATTGCACCCAGGGACCAGGAGCAGCACGGGATCACACGCAGTGTGTGCTGGTAAGTGTCAGCCTGTCAGATCTCCATGAAAATGAAAATCACCCCCAGTGACCTATCTCCAGGTAAGACCTTGCTTTTTCCCTTTAATCCTAGACCTATATATCCCACTGTCTTCTGTACATCTACACATGAATATCTCCCAAGCATCTTCAAACTGTGATTCACTGTATTTCCTCCACAGGTACAGCTGCCGCATTGCTGGTGCCCACTACTGGTGTCAGGCGAGGGTCGTATTGTGTTCTTCCCTTTCTTCTTCCCTCACTCCTGTGCAAGCCAAGTATTGTGTCTCCCTCCTCAGTGCCCCACAGATCCTTACTTCGGTGCTGGGTCCGTCCATACTCAGAAACTCATCACCTCTTTCTGGACTACTGCAGTAGTACTGAATGTTCTCGGTGCCTCTGGGCCCTCCTGCACACCTTTAATCTATCCTGTCCAACTTTTCCTCAGAGGCTCTTCTATTATACATATTGGCTCAAAAATTTTTAGTGGCTCTAAATTGCCCAAAGGGCAAAATCAAACCTCCTCTGATTTATGCTCAGACCTTCAAAATCTAGATGCTAGCGACCTGTTCATTCTCATCTTCTAGCTTTCCTTCCCTCTCTCATTATAGATTCACTTTCTCACCATATTTAACTATTTGTACAGAACACATGGAGTTCTCTCGTACTTCCGTTCCTTTGCACATTCTGGTCACTCTTTCAAATGTACTTTCCTCACTTATATACCCAGAAAACTCTCTGTATTTTTGCTATTGTGAAGTCTCTCCCAATAACTCAAAGAAAATAGGGCTTCTCCTATATTCTGACAGTACATTGCATAGATCTTCACAAGAACAATTTCTCATTATGATTCTTGGTTTGTAAACTACTTGAAGCCAAGGACAGTTTCATCTCTATGCCCTCTGTGACCAGAATAGCACCTGGTACACAATAAGTATTAAATAAATGCCTGTTGAATAACAACATGGACAAATATATTAATATTGGATCTCTAATAATAATGAGTGCTGTTCTAGAGAGAACAGAGGCTGGTTTAGCAAAGCATCATGAAATGAGTCCCAGATCCAGAATGCCAATCTTATAAAGATCAAATAACTCTGCTCATCTACTAGCCAGCCATGCATCAACTTTTGGTCTACTATTCAAAAAATAAACGACATGGTCTGTTGATTATAGGATGTTATGTACAATGGGCAGCACATCAAACCTATATTTTGAGATAAAATCAGATATGCAAGACTTCTAGAAGCTAATGAATGCATTTCCTCCTCCATCTATGTTGAATTTAGGCAGATAACATTAGGATATATGTCTCTTATTCTTAATTCTTTATGTACCCTTCCACCTTTCCCATACAAAATTTCCATATTCCACATTTTTTATATTCTCCATCCTAAAGAGACTGCTGATTCTCTATTATTATGCTTTGATTTTTGTAACAAAGTATCAATCAGAGAGCAGGTTTGGAAAAAATATGATTGATTCTATTTGATTATGTTTCGCTTGAGGTGCAAGGATAAGATTGGGTGAGATGGCCAGTGGATATAGGTCTGGGTCTTAAATTTACCAGTTTCTATTGCTGTTTATACTAAGTGATGTCACTGAGAAAGTTTGTGAATAACTGGGTTTAGGTGAGTTTGTGCTCCTTTCACCTAACCTTTTCTCTCTTTCTTTGTGTCCTGAAAACAATTTTAAACTAAGTACATTTTATAACTAAAATCAGAATCTATGGGTATATAAATACTAACAGTGACGCCAAAAGATAATTGCCCGTAAAATGCCTAATAGAGTTTTCATATAATTTTTCTCAAAGGTATACACCAAAATTCATATAGTTATTAAATTCAGCCTTAACTAAATAGAGAAGTGTCTTAAAATTATCTTGAACTCAAAAAGAATGGAAGTATGAAGGTATTGATGGAATGATTGAAGTGCAAGAGTAGAAACCTGGGCTTTTTGTGGAAGCCAGGTTAATTTTGTAACACTACATCAGTTGTTTTTTTTTAACACTTCACATACTTGACATTTTCTTTAGGAATCCTTTGAAGGGTCTTGAGTTTCTCAGAAATCGAGTCCTTTATAGTCATTATTTTTAAATTCTTGATTGCTCATCTACTTCAGGAAAAGTCAATTGCAAGACTGGTTACCATTTGGCTTACATTATCTGAGGTAGAGTCACTGTAGAAAACAGTCCCCATGTCCATTAGAGTTGAGATTAAAATTACATAGATGAAATGTGTTTTGAGTTCTTATCAGGAGAGTTTTTAAGTCACAGATATTTTGAAATAAATAACATCTTAGCAAACTTCTATTGTAGTCCAGAAAGGAATAAGAAAAACCTATGGTTCTGACGCTTTGTGTTGTCTCTACCCTGAATTTCCCTGAGATGGAGAAAGAGTCATTCAACCTGTTTTACAGAGTTATCCCTTAATGAAGAACCTTCTATGGCAAAAGAAAGTGCAACAGGATTTGTATTCTGAGGGCCTCCTTGTTGAAGATTGGAGAGAGATACACGGGAAGGATTTGGGCAAAGGGGGAAAGATAGTAAAGAGAGGGAGAGGGAGAAGGACAGCTCTCCTCCAGAAGCCCATAAAGTGCGGACACTAACTACAAACCTTACCGCAACAGACAGGGACGGATTTCATCTGTCCAGAGTTGCCCAATATCCTCTTGTGCTTCTTTCTCTCCTGTCAAGCACAGATCTCACACACATAAGACTGTTGTTCCCTGGTGACTGTCCAAGGGTGTGGGGTCGGAAAACAAGAAGGTACTAGACACTGAGAAGCGCCCGGAGCCTCAGGCTGTCACAATCCTGGACCTCTCTGAGTCTCCATTTTTGTATTCAAAGGAGAAGAGAGAATTCTGATTATGCCATTAAAACACTCATGGAGTCAACATTCTATTTTGTATAGTCAAGTTGTAACAATGGAGATAGAAAGAAAGGAATGCCTTTGGGATATATTTTGTGAGTAGATGGACAGTAGGGGTAATAGCAAATAAAAAGAAGAACCAAGAATTTCCCAGAGTTTTTTTTTCTCTGACCAACTGAGTGGATAGTGAATACAATTGTATGAGACAGGAAAATGGTTAAGAAATAGGTTTTGGATGAGGGTTGGAAACTAAGAGCTCTGATTTGGCCGTGTTCACTTGGCAATGTCTTAGTAGTGTGAGTAAATGTGATGGCACAGCTTCTGCGACTGCACTTAGGCTGACACAGCCCTTGTCTCAGGGCGATGACCCCACCACCTGGCCTGTCTCCCACGGGGAGAGCCTGAATTCTACCTCAGACCAGGTCTTCCTGTTCCCTGCCAGCTGCCCCACATTTCACCATCTTGTTATATCTGAATTTTAATCCAATTCCCACTACTCTGTGCCTCCCCCAGCCATCAGGACCAAAAGATTATGATTGTGTGACTGTGACTGGTGGCACCCATTACAGCAAGGACACAAGATAATAAGATTTAATGACCCAGAGGGGTATGGTGACATTTTATTAGTTTCTTTTAACTGTTTCCTTTTTTTAATCCTCCCCACTCACCCTAATAATGCCAGCATTATTTTCTGTATGTTATAATAATTATTATATATTATCTGCCTCACTGACGTTTAATTTCCTTGATCAGGCAAATGCAGGACAATAGATAATATTGCCAGAGTCCTAGCAGCAGTCTGTTAACCAGAGCTCCAGTTAAGAAAGCAGGACTAGTTCCAAAGTCGGACAGATCTCAGCATCACCCAGTCCAGTCAATGTTTCCAGCCCAATGTTTCTGCTCAGTATTTCCTGGTCATTCCTTGTCTCTTTCATACTGCAAAGCAGTGGCAGGAGGAGAGAGGACATGAGGAAGAAGGAGGAAAAGAAGAAAGAGGGGTGAGTATGTCACCTTGTTTCTACATTTTCAAACATTATCACCATTTTAATACAGTATTTTGAGCATTTTCCTATTCCAAAGACCATCAGAAAGGAGCTAATGAATGCCAAGGTCTCTGTATGTATCACTGCTGCTTACAGATTCAACAGTGAAGAGGTGATCATAAGCAAGTAGAAATTGTTTAAATTTCTCCTGAAAAGGTTCTTGGGATAAGGGTCTCCATTGATATTGACAAGGGAAATGGAGACAGGGAATAGCAGAAAGGAAGACAGAAATTATTTGACTGAAGGAAAGTAGGGGTAAAACCAATTGGTTTACAGGCAGCTCACGAGGAGGTATGCATCTAGAGACAGGACACTTACATGAGGCTGGTGCGGCTATTTGCTGGAGGTTATTAGAGTCCAGGGGCAGGAATTTGCATCTGATGCCTGAGCTAACTAAGAAATCCTCAGTTCTTAGGAAACAAAATTCAACAAAGTGTATTTCAAGATCTAACTGGCTTCACTGAGTGATTTGTGAATCAGGCAGCATCCCACCCAGCAAGGAGAGAGACCTCTGAAGGGCAACGGAAATGGAGAGGTTTTCAGAGGCAGAACGAGGAAGTCATAAACAGAAAAAAGGCTTATTTTGGGTGGAGTCACCTTCATTTGGGGAAAAAAGGGTCTTAAAAGGAGGATTTGGGGGAAGGAGAAGGCGTATGTGAAGGATTATCTTATTGACACTTTTTTTCTGTCAGAAAATTACTGACTGACTACATTTCTGGGAGCTTAAAACATTTCTGAGGGATCGAAACTGCAATTAAGTTAGGTATTAAGCCCCAGCTTGGTGACATGGTCTAGCTGAAGTGACCTCTTGGGTCCGTGTGTTTCCTTGTGATAATATATAACCCAATTGGAGCAGTCAGGGTGAGAAACACACTCCTGTTCTGTCTCCCTGACCCCACCACCATAAGAAGTTAATTTGTATTGCACAACCTAGTCATCTGGCTTAGACAGAAACATTTCGTTTTTTAGAAATTACCAAAAATATTTATAGCTTGACTAAGCTAATTTAAAACACATAGCAAAAGCATGCCATGCCTTACGTTCTCTGGGCTGCAGCTGCGGGAGTGGCTGCATGTCTCTAAGCCAGCGATGGCTGATGGCTTGGTCAGGAAACCTCTCGTAGAAGCAATACTCTCCATTTAACCAGGACCATTGCATAGACTCCATAGGGCCTCTTTGCTCATTAGGTAACTCTCTAGCATTGATGTAACTGCTTTTTGTCACCTTTTCTTCAGGACCTAAACTTTCGAGGCATTTGAACCTTGAACAAGATCCTGAGCTCATCTCAAGGGTGAAGTATTTAGTGTCCTGGCCGACCAAATATTTTACAATCTGTTTACCAAGCCAGGAAAGCTGAGTCTCACCCTTGCATAAACCTAAAGTTTACCTGAAAAATGAAAGCAGTTAAATGAAACAACAGGAAAAATTTCCTTTGTTGTACTGAGAAGATTCATCACTTGCCCCAGAGCCACAGCCGCCCTGGCCATTGGCAATCAAAGCCAACATGCAAAGGCAGCCAGCCTGCCCCGAGCACCTGAGCCAGACACCAGGCATTCTGTATCTGAGTCCTGCATCTTCTTGGAAGCTGTGATTATTACTAGCTCCTTTAATATTAAGAGAAACACTAAACAGTTCTCAAATCTCCAGAGAATATGAAGTTCATCCATTATAGGTACACTGGACAAACTCTTATTTTTCTGATTAAACCAGTTATTCCTCGGCAAAAACCACTTTTTCATAAATTAGGAAGGGCATGCAAAGAGAAAGACATTTTTCTTTGCTCCAAAATGTACATGGAGATAAAGGGAAATGGAAGAGGGGCTGAGAAGGGAAGGGACTTGGAAAAGGAAGAGGGCACCCAGAACTATTGTTCTGCACACTCGGCTGGAGCACATTTGATACTCTAAGGTACACATCAAAAATCACATAGTTATTAAATTCAGCCTTAACTAAATAGAGAACAAGTGTCTTAAAATTATTTTGAACTCAGATAGAATGGAAGTATGAAGGTATTGATGGAATGAATGAAGTGAAGAGTAGAAACCTGGGCTTTTTGTGGATTTCCTATTCTGCATTTGATACACATATGCCTCCCAATAAAAGCAAAGGGAACAAAATCACAAAGGCCAGCATTGTCATCACTATAAAGCAATATGTAAATTATGGTCTTAAAATAAGCCTGGTTGGGGGGCGGTGGCTTGGAAGCTTCGCCCACAGGAAGATGACTGTTTTGTTATTGTCTTATTATTGAACTACCATAATCTCCAGTGGAGCATGGAGTTCCTAAGAAGTACAATGCTGTGATTCCTGACATTTAACAGACGAGAAAGGACCCTCTCGGGAAATGAGCCACTCGGTTGAGACTGGGCAAAAAATACCTGCAAAGAATCCACGACCTAAGAAGTTACAAAAGGCGACTCACCAAGGTCCCAGGGAAACTAGCTGGAAGTGGATGGCTGGCATGCCCGGCAAGCTGGGCAGAGCTTATTGGTGAGATGGCCCTGAGTGTGGGCCGCCCAACAAGCTGCGCAGAAGAGCTGGGCTGGAAATGCCGCAGTGGGAGAGGAGGGGGCAGCTCCTGGGGGGAGGGTGGCTCTGCAGTGGCTGCTTGTTTTCAGTGAAGGGCCTCTGTGGCTGAGGGGAACATTTGCACTAAATGCTCTGAACTGTATGATGTGACATGATTTATCCAGAAGGCTGCACAGCTGGCATTAGGTAGAACATTCGGAATCATTTTAGCTGTACATTACCTAGAGGCAGCATTCCCTCCCCAATGCTAAATTTAAATTGTTCCTGTCATTTCAGACTGTTGAAATCTGTTTCTCACAGGATGTCTCTGTCTTAGAAATAGCATGTGACCCCCAACCTGTAAAATGGAAGAGGATTTGAAACATAAATCACCCATTCTTCTACCTCCCTCTCCCTACAAACACACATACACCCTCCCTCGTTTAAAACAAACAAATTTCAGAACAGAAGGAATGCATGGAAATGATAAAGAAGAGCTTCTCAAACAGGGGCAGGAGGGGGAGGCTGGTGACTGCCGATGAGTTACAGGCAGCAGAGCTGAATGACTCATGCAAGAGCCCCAGAGGGATTATTCGTTCCCTCAGTGGCCTTTAGGGGAAAAAGAGATGGAAAATGTGATATTATAAATGTTCCCACAGAATCACAGCTCTCCTGGATCTAAGGGACCACACGCATACCCTGCTGCTCACCATGCACTGTAAATAAGCCAACGTGCCCCATGCAGCTAAAAAACTTAACAGAAAACACCACACACACAAGATTCAAGATCCACTGGGAATGTGGCCACAGTCTGATTGAGTCTATCCTATTCTACGCTTGAATATTAAAGTAAACTTTAAAACCTTCCAGTATTTCTTAAAGTGAAATAAAGTGTGACTTAAAGGCGAAATCAATATGTGGACTTAAATATCCTTTTCTCAATTATAGATTCTGAAACTATATCACGAAATGAAAATCAAGGTTAAGCAGAAACCAGGAAGAGTTCCAGTTTGAAACACAAGCACACATGCTCTTTGCTATTGGTAAATAAGGGACTTGCTCACATCCCTGATGATTATAATCTGCAGTCACAAGAACGTCACATTTTTAACTTTTCCCATGTCTTGGTTCTGCATGGTGATCATGATACTGCTTACCACAAGTCTTCACCTCGCCTGGAATTAGTTAGCCAAAGAATTGGGTGCTAAGGCAAGGCCAGGAAACATGCCTAGGATGCTGTCCAATTTGTAGCAGTGCTCACAAATGTCTCTAAGTGCAAGAAAGGGTGGGCAAGCCTTGTTTTATCTGAGTAACCTCTTCCCTCCCCACAGCGTGGCTCAGAAAGAGCATCTAAGTGCAGGTTTCTGTAGCCCTCTCCTACGGTAAGCAGACAGGCTGGACACCAGGAGCACATATCAACGGTGGTTCAGTGAGAACTGGGAAGAGTCTTTGACTCCTCTATGCCCAAGGCAGTAGATCCTCTGCACACTTCTTTAGACCATCAAACCATCTGGGTTGCTTCATCTTTTGAGTTTCCAGGGTTTTCTATTAAGGTCTTTTGTCAAAATTGCTGTGAGATTACAATGCTCAAATAGTTAATGTGGCTGAAAATGTCCACTTGACATTTTAAGGGATGTGGCATAAAGCCACTGGGAAAGAAAGTGTCTTCATAGTAAGTCCTAAAGTCCTACATCGCACATCACTTCATGTGTCAGAGAATCCTCTTCTTAAGCCACATCTTCAGTGCTTCTGGCCTAAATTGATGCAAGGAAAACCACTGTAGTCCTCACTACTGTAGCTAACAGCAGCTTTAGCTCTCCTGGTGTTCTACCATGCACTTCATCCATAAGTATTACTGAAACACTTAATCCTCTCACATATTTCTTAATCTGGGACTTGCCATCAGGAAGAAGTTTTCTGAAAATTCAAGCCATACTTACAATGTACAATATGTCACTACATTCTGGTGAATACAAATTACTCTTCTGCTCACTTACCATACTCCCTTGTGGTGAAATGTGTGCCCACTCCCCACAAGATCAACTGCAAAGTCACTTCTTTATAGTAGAACGTAACCACTTCTATAGTGACAAAAGATGACATTGCTGTATCAGCAAGCCAACGTGTTCAACACTGGCTCTATCCTACCAATTGGACTGCTGATTGTAAGCATCTTTGGGGTGGAGTTAGCTCAAAGTCAAAATTACCTAAATGAGGTAGGTCAGTAGAGCTCAGTCCACTCCTTGCTTGGTACTAAAATCTTTAATGATCAGAAACAAAGTTTTATTGATTCCCTTTTGACTCTCATAATACACCCCAAATCCACTTTTTCTCCTTGACTAAGACATGTGGTAATTAGCAGAGCCTAGCAGTGCACACTCAGTCATTCAAATCTTTTTTGAAATTATCACAGGCTGCTTCAGATGCAATAGTCATAAAACGAGGAATCAGATACAAAAGTAGGCACAACTCTAAGGCATATTCTTTTTCTACAAAAAATATTTGCGGATCTCTCCTACTGACATAGGATATAGTTTAGGTTCTTCCAATAGCAGCTTATAATACTGGCTATTCCCTCAAGGTTTCCAGTGTTCCTGGTAAAGGTTGGTCTCCTCATAAAGGGTGGGCTTTCAACAGAGAAATCAGGGTATCCTAATGGCCACTGACAATGTGCAAAGGGGACTATGAGTTATTCCCTAAGGTCTGGACCCAGACTTTCAGATCCTGCTTTCTAGAGAATAGCCTATTTTAGAATAGGTAATTCCCACTTATGTCAGAGAAACTCAAAAAGCTTGTGTTTTTTAAAAATTAACTTTAATGGCAACACACTGAGGTACGGAATGGGTGTTAATCAGATTTTTATTGGAAGATCACAATACTAGGCAGGGAAGGGCATGGGATGACAGCAAGCAGACTACAGCACAATCAATCAGCTGGGGTCAAACATCTTTGTACTAGTTTCTAGTCTGTTTGCCACCAGCCTGGCATTCTGCTGAAGCATTACTTCATGGTTTCATGTAACACACTTATTTAATATGTGAAAGTAAATTCAGAATCATCTTCCTATTAAGTATCTCTATAAAATTTCTGATAATTGAAATCCTGGCCTTTATAGCCACTACTACCATTATCAAAATATAGTTATTGTGTATGGAGGTTCCTCAAAAAACTAAAAATAGAAATACTATTTGACCCAGTAAATCCACTCCTAAGAACTTACCTGTAGAAAACAAGCTCCCTGATTTAAAAAGACATATACACCCCTGTATTTATCACAGCACTGTTTACAATAGCCAAGATACAGAAGCAACCTGTGTCCATTAGTAGATGAATGGATAAAGAAGGGGTGGTACATAGAAACAATGGAATATTATTCATCCATAAAAAGAAAAAAAATCCTACCACTTGCAAAAACATGGATGGAGCTGAAGGGTATTATGCTCAGTGAAATAAGCCAGGTAAGACAAGTAATGACTCTATAGCATCTTACTACACTGACGGACAGTGACTGCAATGGGGTGGGAGGGAATTGATAACGTGGGTGAATGTTGAAACCACAATGTTGCTCATATGAAACCTTCATAAGATTGTATGTCAATGATACCTTAACTTAAAGACTTAAATATAAAAAACAAAAGTATAAAAAATACAGTCATTGTGAGGTTTGGTACCACTTGGAATTATATCTAAAGAAAAATTTTGTATGAAATAAATGCCAAATAAGCAATAATGATGACTTATCAAATGCATTTATCACTAAAACTATTATTCACAATTGCTTCAGGTTTTGTTAGTCCAGGTGTTCTATTTAACTGAGCATGAACTTAAATAGTATCCTGCACTAATCAAGGATTTTGAAGCTCTGTTTATTCAGTAGCCAATGAAAACAGGCCTCTTATCTGTGTGGCATAATTAACTATCAAATCGATTTTTTAAATGTGTAAAGCCAGGCATTCTGAATAGCTCTAGAAATCAAATTAGGTCCTAAGAAAGCATTTAGACTGTGTTCCCAGTGCCCTCCCCGTTTCTAACATTCAAATGGGATATTGAGTCACAGCTGTGGGTGGGCAAAACAGCACAGAATTGCGGCAACTGCAGGGATATGGAATTAGTTCTGTATAAAACATTTTTCTCAAGTTTGGGGTGGAAAGGCAGGGACTCTGAATAAGGCAATCAGCATTCATTCACATGGCCATTCCCAATGAATGGGAAGGTGGACTTAACCTGGGGGTCTACTCCCATACCCTGGGAGCAGAGATGCTAGATAAGAGAAAGTAAATTGCCTTTTTACTATCTTGGGAAGTGAACAAAGAGAACTACTTGGTCAGGGAAAATTTTAAGCCCAAATACTTAAATGTATCAATATAGCTTTGTTGGGAGATTACACTGAGGTTATTTTAAAAACTTTTTTCTTGTTCAAAGAGAAAAGTAAGGACAGTGTCCATAAATAATGTTGCAGTTCAGGAGCCCTCCCACCCCTACACAGACCCGTAAAAGGATGATTTCAGTCACCATATGTGGTTTGATTCTAAGTATAATCTTAACAAATCTTGCTAATCAATATTTTAGTCCTATAAATAGAAGTATAGTACTTTGCAGCCATTTCTAATTAAAAATATGTGCAAGAAATGCAACGGTAAAGGAAAGGGGGTAAAATTTAGGATTCTTTGGGAAATTTCTGTCTGCCTTCTCTAGCCCCTCACCATGATACCCTGAGTGAGCTAGGGTCTGTCCCAGTTCCAGGGCTTTTTTGAAAGTCTGCAGGTTTGCTGCCTCTAAGCCCCACACTGCAGAGTTTGGTGCCTAGTCACACTGGCAGCACAGGACCCGTTTGCTCACATCCTCCTGCTGCCAAACCCAAGTCTGCCTGATTCCCAGGTCACTTAGTCCTTTCCCCAGCTTGGCCCCATTTCCAGGACTGGACCTCTGCCTGGGTTTCCCTTTGACTGCTGCCAGTTAGCTGTCTTGTCTCATAGACTCCTCACCCTCAAAGACAGGCATTACATCCTAAGCCTGAGTTAAGGCAATGTTCTCACCAACCCATGTCTG